TAATACATTTGATACCATTGCCCCTCTGAAAAAGAAGGCAGTGAAACAGAGGAGGCTAGCCCCATGGTACAGCTTGCAGCTCCGCTCCCTAAAGCAGGCATCACGAAAAATGGAAAGGAGGTGGCGCTCCACTAAGTCAGAAGAGTTTTTCATAGCCTGGAAAGATAGTTTAATAACATATAAGAAAGCCCTTCATAGTGCCAGAACCGCATTTTATTCATCACTGATTGAGGAAAATAAGAACAACCCCAGGTTTCTTTTCAGCACTGTAGCCAGGCTGACAAAGAGCCACAGTGCTGTTGAGCTTAACATTCCCTTAGATCTCAGCAGCAATGACTTCATGAGCTTCTTTACAAATAAAATCACAACTATTAGAGAAAAAATTGGTCGGACCACTCCCACAGCTCTCGCAGATGTGCCATCTACTACAATGGCTTTAGAAACATCTGTAAGACCTCATTTATACTTGGACTACTTCTCCCCTATAGATCTCTCTGAGTTGACCTCAACAATTGCTTCATCTAAATCATCAACATGTCTCCTGGACCCCATCCCGACCAGGCTGCTCAAAGACGTCTTTCCCCTAATCAACACATCCATACTAGATCTGATTAACCTCTCTCTATTAACAGGTTATGTTCCACAGGCTTTTAAACTTGCAGTAATTAAACCTCTACTCAAAAAGCCTACTCTTGACCCAGGTGTCCTAGCTAATTATAGACCAATATCCAATCTCCCATTTATTTCCAAAATCCTTGAAAAAGCTGTTGCAAAGCAGTTATGTGACCACTTGCACAAGAATGATTTGTTTGAGGATTTTCAGTCAGGATTTAGAGTCCATCATAGTACAGAAACCGCATTGGTGAAAGTCACCAATGATCTTCTCCTAGCCTCGGACAAAGGACTTGTCTCCATACTTGTCCTCTTAGATCTCAGTGCTGCTTTTGACACCATTGATCACAGCATCTTACTGCAGAGACTTGAACATGTTATTGGGATTAAAGGAACTGCGCTAAGTTGGTTCAAATCTTATTTATCAGAAAGATTTCAATTTGTTCATGTTAATGACGAATGTTCCACACAAACTGAAGTTAGTCACGGCGTTCCACAGGGCTCTGTGTTAGGTCCAATTCTCTTCACTTTATACATGCTCCCTTTAGGCAATATTATCAGGAAGCACAACATAAATTTCCATTGCTATGCAGATGATACTCAGTTATATTTATCTATGAAGCCAAATGAATCAGGTCAGCTGGTCAAACTTCAAGCATGTCTTAAAGACATAAAGGCCTGGATGACCTGCAACTTCTTACTTCTAGACTCTGACAAAACTGAAGTTATTGTGCTTGGGCCTGAAAACCTTAGAAATCTGCTGTCTAATCATATAGTTACTTTAGATGACATAGCTCTTGCCTCCAGTACTACTGTGAGGAACCTTGGAGTCATCTTTGATCAGAATATGTCCTTTAAATCACACATAAACCAAGTCTCTAGATCTGCCTTCTTTCACCTGTGCAATATTGCAAAAATCAGGAGCATCCTGTCTCAAAGTGATGCTGAAAAACTGGTCCATGCATTTGTTACTTCCAGGCTGGACTACTGTAACTCTTTACTATCAGGATGCCCCAACAGATCTCTAAAAAGCCTCCAGTTAATCCAAAATGCTGCAGCCAGAGTACTGACAGGAACTAGCAAGAGAGATCATATCTCTCCCATATTAGCTTCTCTCCACTGGCTCCCTGTAAAATTCAGAATAGAATTTAAAATCCTTCTCCTAACATACAAAGCCCTTAATGACAAGGCTCCATCGTATCTTAAAGACCTCGTAGAGCCTTATCATCCTAACACAGCACTTCGCTCTCAGAGTGCAGGTTTACTTGTGGTTCCTAGAGTCCACAGAAGCAGAATGGGAGGCAGAGCCTTTACCTATCAAGCTCCTCTCCTATGGAACCAACTCCCAGTCTCAGTTCGGGAGGCGGACACCCTCCCAACTTTTTAGATTAGACTTAAGATGTTCCTTATTGATAAAGCTTATAGTTAGGGCTGGATCAGGTGACCCTGAGCCCTCCCTTAGTTATGCTGCTATAGGCCTAAGCTGCTGGGGGGC